ATATATAGGCGACCAAGTTAGTGCAAGTGAAGAAATAAGTAAGTTAGTAAAAGTGAAAAAAGTTATACTGCGTGATTGTGAGTTTAGCCATAAAGAGCATATAGTGGTGACTTTTAAAGTGAAAGTATCGCAGCTTGAATTATAATAACAGAGACAGAGAAGAGTAATTTGTCTTGTGAAAGGGTGTTCTAAAGTAATTAAACCAGCCTCTATGGACTTTGACGAATAGGAGACAGTTATTTAAAGCTCTGTATACTACTGTGATAACCAATAGTGTAACAAATTTTTGTGCATAAGTTTGACTTCTTTCGATGTTATTATATTAAAACAAGTGGATTGTGTGCTGTCCATTTATTGTTGAAATTTATCGCCAGTAAGTCACAGACACCTATTGTAAAGAATCCGGCCATATAAAAACCTGGCACTTTTTTGCCATATTGTTGTATCTTTCTTTTTTAAGTATTATTATTTTTATTGAACTTTATACCCTCTAGAGATTTATCGTGTAGCCTGCTATATGTGTTTGTTACAGGGGATAGCTACAGCAAAATTTCTAACGTTTGTTAGACACACCACATATAATTTTTTTTTTATTGCTACGTTCATTAACAATATCGATTATACTATTTAGCCTATCGAATATCATTAATTTTTATTTTGGTTTATTCTTTATCATCATAATTTTATTGTAAATGTTATTTCGTTCTGTTAGTTTAATATATCTATTTAGGAATAACCTAAAGCTCCTAAGTTGGCTGAACTTCGTGAAATATTATTGGGATTACGGCCGAAACTATCGTTTACAGCTAGGGTACCCAACTAATGAAACAGTGTGTTCTAATATTTATAAGTATAAACGTAAGGAACGTATATATAATTAGCTATACTGATTGCCAGGTTGATTTTCAGTTTCGTTCTAAGTGTATAGCTTGCTCTGATCACATGTTAATATTAGTTACATGTGGTGTAGTGTCGTATCTTCCATAGTGTGAAGCTGTATCCTGAAGGAAAATAAACTGTTTTAATTCATCATTAAGAGCAATTATGCATTATTATATGTCGAAACGTGAGTTGGAACTTCGGAATAATCATGCTTTAAGTTATCGCGAAGATGTGATTTATTCGTAGTTCTATTTTACAATTAACGTGACTTGCAGTGTTTGATTCATATGATAAAAGTGCTTAAAATATTATAAACGTCTAAGAGGTTAACTTGTCTGTTAATGAAAATCTGGTGTGTAACGTGAAACAGAAATTTATCTGTTTAAATACTGAAAGGTTAGGAGCAGAACCACATATTGTTTGGTAATGTTGCTAATAAACTTCCGTAATTTGTTTCAATTGACTAGCCATTTTATTCATAATCCTGCTCTGCACGAAAACGTGAAAAGTTCGTGTAGTTGACTGTATTCCTCCACATAGCACACACTTGAGCTCATTCCTACTGTATCAAGTGATCTAAAATTACTTCACCTATATGAAAATTACGTGAGTTTACACTTACAGCTATTGACTTGTCAGTACCACTGCATGTCTTTATGTTTAGTGTCTTATTTGAATAGCCATGTGTTAAGTTTCTCTGAAGAGACTGGAAGTGTTCTCACTCTTCACAATCAAGAAAAGAATCAAGAGCTCGCTTTTAATTTTCAATAACAAAGGGGGAAGATTATCTTAAATGTCAGTGATAATAGACTATTTCATAGCCTTGAGAACAGGAAGGAGAGGGGTGTGGCAAACATTGTAGATGGGAGGACATGTCTGCACTCCTCTCTGAATTGATTGGTCAAAAGTAAATATGACTCAAAGAGTTCGTGGACTCCATGTCATACCAGAAGAACCTAAGAAATATTTTGTTAATGTTTGTAAAATACAGAACACTAAATACTTCAATCGCGATCTGTTAAGATAGGGAACCGGGTTTAAATAAATACAATTTCGCTATTAGGAGACGTATTTTTGCTTATTCTGAGAAACCTAAAAAACTTTTACCCGTAAAGAATCTTGTACCGCTTTGAACCCTGTCTGTCAACCTTATTTATTCCCTCACTTCCCCATTCAGAAACTTGTTCCTCCGCCTATACATTTTATATCTAGTGATATATATCCCTTCAAAGAATTTAAAAAAAAATCATTTTCAAATCTCTTGAACCGGTTCATGATGTTAGTTAGACATGTTTGTTTAGTTATAACACAATTTCTAAATTTAGTATTGTTTGATGTCAAGAGTATGAGACTTGTTTACTTAACGATGTTAAAAGTATATAATTTTTTGCTGCATTTTTCAAATATCCCCTGTTGCTTTATTGGTGATATTTATTTTGTTATTTTTATTCCAGTCCTCCTAACGAACACATTCTAACAAGTTTTAAATCAAATCTCTTTATCTGAATAACGTAGATGCAATATTTTAAATAAAATAATGGTATTGTATCAAATAGATTGATACTTTTTAAAGGTTTAGCTCTAAAAACAAAGGATGTTTAGTAAAATCACATACCATAGAAAGGATTTTTTTTCATAAATAAAACTTTCAACTGTAATAAAAATAATTATACGCAAGAAGTACACTTGTCATTTCGGTAAACCTAACGTAACAGTTGGTTGTAAACAGTACATACACTACATATATCGAATGTTCGATGACGTCACTTTGAACAGAAGGTGCAACGCTTTACGATGGTTTAATAAACCAATTTAAGGCTTATTTTTTTACATTTTCGGCTGATGTAGCAGTTTGGAAAAACAGTCGTCTGTAGAAGTTTCAAATTTTGTAGTTTTTGTGAATCACATGCGAGACAGCTTCCTTTAGTCTCAGTTTACTACTAATACGAACCAGAAAATCTATTTTGTCAAAACGTGCAATAGGCATCATTACAGTATTTTTTAATGATTTTTTTACTACTTGGTACGGTATACAATTAATGTGGAGGAAATACTAGAATAGACTACACTCGATAATTAGGTTCGAATAGAAACGGGTACAAGATACTACTAAATCGTGTTTCGTATACTTGATGAAGGATTGAACAAAATTCATAATACTATTCTTTACTATTTCTATTGATTTACTATTTTCCCGTGTACAGAATGTCGGTGGTTTATGATATTAAACAAGATGAATCGTCGTGTAGATGAGTAAAATAAGTAGGCTTAACCTTAGAAATTTTGGAAAATTTTAAGTGGTATAATCAAAGAAATGGACTGGGTGAATATAATCAACATTATGGTTTTCTGTTCCCATGATGTTACATCTTTGGTGTGTGATAGATATGTAATGAATAGCGTCTTAATGTCTTCGATTTCTAAAGATGTAATGCTATTCATTCAGACGTACTGCTGTGAAGAATGAATTGAAACCGAGCGGGACTCTAATCCGTCCCTGCTTATTGGGAAGGCGTCCTCACTAGTCCCGAGTGCCGCAAACCTTGTTTGTATTTTAGTACACTATTATTACGATTATTTGCAGAATGCTTAAGCTGTATTAATTGCTCTTGAGAGTTTGGAGTCTATGTATTGCCATTTCTATGAGATGTGAATAGGAACAAAAGCTTATAGGTAAGACATCAAAGTTCTTCATCGTTAAAATTTATAAAAGTAGTCGAGAAATTTACTTGCTTTCACCATTCGATTTAAATAGAATTAACTATATTGTATGCCTGGACTAACGTTGGTATTCGCGTGTTAAGGTCATTATTTCTCTAATGTCTGAATTAACTACCCCCACTTCTTGAAAGAAATCAACCAAGGGTCTGAACCCATACACACGATGTGCATTAATTAATTCCTGTAATGTTTGGTATTTTCAAGGCTTCCATGGATCTTCCTCCAGATAAAGCCAAACTTCTGAAGCAATACGATGATGGAAAGAAGTGGGACATGATCTGTGATCAGGTATACCGTTTACGTGTTAAACTTATCATAATTTCTTTGAATTAGATGAAATGTGTATTGTATCGACTAATTAATTCCAACTACAATTTATATTTTCCTAAATGTCTTTCATCAAGCATTTGACAGTTAATATATTTGTAATGTGTTGAGAACAAATGGCTCATCAAACCATTAACACATTATAAGTGTTTTTGTTATTATTATTATAGTTAAATGAAGCAGAATGAAACGTGAAAGAACTCACGAACAATGGGAAACTGTTAGATTCCGCTTTAAAATAGGAGGATTTTTCAAAATTATTAAACACCATATTTTATGTGGTGTTTCTCAGTTAGTCTTATTACGTAGTAAAATCAAGCATATAAAAATCAAACAATCCAAGGACTTTTAGTAGTATCTTACTTTACATAATTTTTTTATCTTTGCTTAGCTGAACACTATAATAAAAATAATACACCAGTGAGTTAGTGAATAAGAATATATGTTACAAATAAAGAAATAAACTTAATTATTTGTATCAAACTAACAATGCTGTATTGATGTACGTATATCTTATGTGTGTTTTTTATACCTATAAGGAACTCAACAGATTTTCTATCAAATGGTTTAAAACGACACTTGTGTAAAACATCTGTTTACAATTAAAGGGAATACAACGTTAAAATCATTACACAATAAACAGCTTATTAAAAACAGGTTGTTGTTGGGTTTTTTTTAGGGCAAGTCTCTGTTTTTAATAACTGTATATTGTGTAATGATTTTAACGTTGTATCCCTTTTAATTGTAAATAAATGTTGATCATAGATATTTTTCTTTATAAATTTTATTATGTTTGCTGGAATGACACATTTTACCTTTATTTCACTTGCTTGAGTTTTTAGATAATGTATGTTAACAGTCTTTCTATCGGCAAATCTTAATGCTGTTTTAACGTTTCTTTACTGATATAATTTTTGCAGAAAAAACAATTTTATTGATACACTTCTTTTCCTTTACTAAAAGGAGAAGGTGATGGCCAAAGAATCTCCATCCTTTTACCTTAGGAAGCTGAAGACATATCTAGATCCTAAAGCTTCTAGAAGTTCGCGGGTAAGCGTTTCAGATAATACACTAAAAAGTCTGTATAATTTTACACAAAATATTTTGAAAGTTAGCTGACACACACAAGTGCCTATTGAGATAACAAATAAAATAACATATTTTTGTTAATATACAGCCGACTGGTATGTAAGGTTACACAGATTTTGTTGTGTAAATTTATATGCTGTGCATACTAATAGTCTTTGTGTGAACCTACACAGACATTTGTGTAACCAATCACATTATTAGCATACATACTATCACATAACTACAATATGTTTTCACAGTATGAATGGTTACACATTACTTTTTTGTGTAATTTCACACAAATCTTTTGTAGTGTATGTTATCTAGTAGAAATATTCAACATCAGCACGTTGAAATATCTATCAATACACGCATAACATACATACGTTTAGTATACAGTTTTATTTAAGTTTGATATGATTATAGTAGTAAGTGAACTTCTCAATTGCTTTGATTTCCGCTGTCAGCGCTAAATCTGAAGACTTATAATGTGGGTTTCGATACCCGCGGTGAGCAGAGAACGAAAAGTCCATTGTGTAGCTTTGTGCTCAACAACAAATAAGTAAAACAAAGTGGTATCTCGCATTAGTAATTGAGTTTTTGAATTGATTCGATTTCCGGTATCAACCATTAGTCTGGTAAAGTTAACGACGCCATTTTTTGAATAAACAGTAGCAGTAATGAACATTCTTTGATTCTGAGAAATTAGAAACATTAGATATATGAATAAGTATTGGCATTTATATAAACCCTTCAAGTCGTTTAACTGTTCGTATGAAATCAGTACAACTTTCATCTTCTATACCCAACCACATTGGGCCTATACTAATGTATTACACACCTCGGTTTACATTTTTCTAGATAAAGAAATGAATACACAAACGCTTACAAAATATTATGTGTGGCGGAATTTTAAAATAACGATAAAAATCTTTTGATATATGATTTTTTTTATGAACAAATACGTTCTGGTTGTAAAATCCAAGTTTTAATGAAGTATTAACCCTGTCGTGATAGTCATATTTAGGGCAGAGTGGAGTTAACTTACAAGTGTCGTATTTATGACAATTACATTTACAATTAATTTGTGATATGTAGTAAATTGAAAATACAATAAATAAAATATATTGCTAACGCTACAACATTCATTTTAAAAAGGACTAACTATTCGGATATATATATATGTATGTGTGTGTGTGTGTGTGTGTGATTTTTTTTACTATATACTTATTAAAGTAATAAGTAACATCAATTTTAACTTAATTAAATCATCAATGTAGTAACTTGATTTTGACACACTTCTTTCGTGTCTTTGTTTTTAAATATATTTTTAAAATTGAAATAAGCAAATATATTTAAATACATCAAACTTGTTTATCCCATGTTGTGCGATCCCAGTGGCACAGTGGTATGTCTGTGGAAACGGATTTCGATACCCGTGGTGGACAGAGCACGGACAGCCCATTGTGCAGCTTTGTGCTTAACTAACTACAAATACAACCCATGTTGTGCAGACTAACAAAGTCTTTACAGCTGCGTACTTCTAAGACAGCATGATGAAAGCTAATACTTAATTTAAAACAAACATAACTTCACGTGGTATAGGTTAAATGTCGTGAGAAATATAAACAGTATGTAAAGTGTCTGACACATTTGTTTTGAATTCTACCACTAAAGAAACTGCATGTTTCAAATTATTAATATCTTCTTTCAAGAGTAACGATGTTGATATGAACTGTAAAGATAGGATTAAAGAAAATCGGATAACTATATTTGAAGATCTGCTTGAAACAAACACCCAGTGAACAATCATGTTTAATGGTAAAAAATTAACCAAAAATATGATATGGACATTTTGTTGGGCAACTAATGTGAAAACAACGGTAGTCATTCACCACTGTTATCTACAACTTGACCTAACTGATCTGTATCCACATCGCCCTCTACTGTAGCCTTAGGGGAGTTTTCCAAAATTATTTTTAGATTTAGTCTGATAATTGTTAAATCTAATAAAATATTCAAGATATACATGGTGGAAACTGTTAATGTCTGACAGACGGGTTAAAAGGAGGGCAATCATGAGGACACACAAAGAAACGTTTATTATCACTTTGTGTCAACACTGTACCATTATGTCTGGTTGTTATGACACTTATAATAATAGTTTGAGTAAATTGTTTGTTTGTTTAAGAATTATCGCGCCAAGCTATACAAAGGCTGTCTGCTGTCCTTAATTTTGAACTGACAGACTAGAGCAAGGATTCCTAAATTTTCTTACCTGGCAATCCACCTGAGTAGCCAGACATTTTTCTGGGACCCATGCTCAATTAGAGTAGAAGAGGTTACTGTTTTAACATATTTCAGTAAAGTCTTGTAGTGTTGGTGTATTCTTTGTTTGTTGGTTTGTTGTTGTTTAAAAACATGAGATGATCATTATTTTACAGATAATTTGAAAATAAATAATATGTTCTGCGAGCCAGTCCGATACTTCTTGCGATCCACAGTTTGGGAATCGCTGGACCAGAGAGAAATAATCTAATCACTAGCACTCATCATAAACTATTGTATTGCTCTTGTAGTGGGATTTTAACGTCGTTCTTTCTAGTATACATACAGTCCCAACATGTGGAGCGTGATTCTTTTAGCAGCAGGGTTAAAAACTGTGAACCTTTATATTCATAGACTAACCCCAACGCAACGTTAAAAGTAATTTGTGAAAAAAAAGACTATTTGCCACATAATGCTTAAATTACAAATTTGACCAGCTTTGTTAAAAAATATGAAGACAGAATAATACAAAAAAATGATGAACAGCAGAAATTAGCTATATATCGCATAAAATTCAGATTTATCCGTAAAAAACGTCGCCCATAATGTATATCATATATTAAGTTTTCTATACTGCAGCCTAGGAAGCGCCCCCCCCCCCACTTATTTTCAACTTGTCCCAGTAAAAATGCATCAAAATGTGAAAATTACTCTAAAAAAAAAAAGCGGGAAAATGTAGACCCAGAAACCAAGAGCTTAACGCACACATTCCCTTGCTTCGCTCGGTCAAATAAACCTTGGGCCTCCCACTTTTAATTTGCCTCCTATGTCTCTGTTATAAATACAGGTTTGCAAATGAAACTTTAAAGATCTCGCTTTTTAAACTACGGAAAAATCCCAAGTTCGCTTAGACGAAAATTAGAATTTTTTGATTAGGGTTGCTAGGTTTTTGTTCAGCAAACACTTATAACCTTTTACAAAAATTTTAAGTAAACATTGTTGTTCAATAGCTATTGATGTACTTTTTAGCTTAATTGACCATAACCGTATTACACACTTCTCAACCAATAACGATTTCTGAGCTGATGTATTATTGGCAGGAAGAGACTGTCTCCCCTCTCTTACATTTAGTATCATATTAGAAATATAAAAGTTTGTGATGATTTTTAAGGTACTGCCATATAATTATTTTGTTTTATGGAACATGTTTAGCATAAGCTCTGATAACCTGCGTTGTTGCAGGTGGAAGTCAGTTAAGTCACGCATCAGACAAGTGATTGTAAGTCGAGAGCCATCTCGAAGGTACGCATACAAGGTTTTGTGGTGGAGGAACTGTTATCAATAAAGTGGGCGCACAAGAGCTGGCAAGTTATTCAGAAAGTATTAAAAGTAAATAATTTTAAAAGAGAATTAACCAAACGGAGAACTTAAACAGAGGAATAGCTGAACGAGGAGGAATAAAGCACACCTTAATGTTTCGTGAGAAACTTATTGAACTGAATAATTAATTCTAAAATATAATAAAAGTAACTTTAAAGTAGGAAAGTTCTGGTTCTAATAATTACAATGCTTCGACCCATAGTATCGAGTTATCATCAGGTAAGAGTTATATTCAAAAGTTGTTTTGTTTTATTTAACATGTTTAGCATAAATCACGGTAGCCTACTTAGCTTACGAGCGCAAGTCAATTAAGTCGCTATCGGACAACTGGTTGTACATTTGAGAGCCACTGTGAAAGAACCAAAAGAACGAATACAAGCTTTCATGGTGGGGGAACTATTATAAATAAAGCGTGCTCGTAAGAGCTGGCAAGTAATTCGGAAAGCATTAAAAGTAAATAATTTTAAAATGTAACTCGTACCTGATCTTGACTGTATACTGTGTGTCGAAACGCTGTAATTATTAAAAATCAGAACTTGCCTACTGTAAAAGTGGTGTGTATTTATTTTTTGTCGAATTAAACAGTAAATTAATCAATAATTATGATCAATTAATAAGATTATGAATTAACAGAATTAATGGGGGGAACTATTATAAATAAAGTGTACTCGTAAGAGCTGGAAAGTAATTCAGAAAGCATTAAAAGTAAATAATTTTAATGCCCCAAGTGGCACAACGGTATGTCTGCGGACTTACAACGCTAGAATCCTCGTTTCGATACCCGTGGTGGGCAGAGCACAGATAGCCTATTGTGTAGCTTTGTGCTTAATTACAAACAAATAATTTTAAAATGTAACTCGTACCTGATCTTAACAGTATACTGTGTGTGTCGAAACGCTGTAATTATTAAAAATCAGAACTTGCCTACTGTAAAAGTGGTGTTTATTGTATTTTTGAATTAAACAGTAAATTAATCAATAATTATGATCAATTAATAAGATTATGAATTAATAGTTACTTACATTTTCCAAGCCCTTCACTGTGGTGTGGTGAAAAGAAAACAATCGGAGGAATCACATTTAAGACCAAAAAAGTGCACTTGACAATTTGTTTATTTCTAGTATACAACCTAGTATTCAGTTGACAATGAATTGCGAGAATATGACAACCAGTACACAGTTGAGAGAAAAAACAACAAAAAAAAAAACTTAGAAGCAACAGAAGAGGATTTTCGGCACTTGAAGAAGTATTAAAGGAAGATAATAACAAGATTCTGGAACTTAACTTTTCAGTTACTTGTTCACAGTCACAAAATATAGGTGACCAAACAAGAA